GAAGGAGCCGCACCTGCACCTGCTGATGAAGGAGCCGGAAAGTCAGAGCCCTGCCCAGGGCAGCTCCCTGTGAAGCGCGCTGCCCTCCCCAGGGGCTCCAGGGCCAGGCCCCCAGCTAGGGGAACCCCAGGGCCAGGCCCCCAGCCAGGGGACATTGGAGACCCCAGGGGTTTCTGGGCTGTGTGTGATGGCAGAGTGCAGATGAATATACCCAGACTGAGCATCTCTGCAGGGCCCCAGCGCCCGTGAGCGCAGGGCAGACGGGTGCCCAGTGGCTGGTCATTGGTTACAGGGGCTGAAGGAGACAGGCCCTGCCCAGCTCCCAGCACTGCAGCTCAGTGCGGGAGGGACATTGTGCTGGGACCAGATGGCCTCACTGCATTGGCCCCAGAGTTCACGCCCGTCGGACTGGGGCCGGGACAGGCTCTGAGACCCAGGGTGGGACAGGGAAATCTCTCCCCATGGGCAGAGCAATGGAAAAATGGAGGACCCAGAGCCCCACTGGCTTAGTATCCCCCCAGCCCAGACTCACCTGTGACATCCAGGGGGAACTCCTCCCGCAGGGGCTGAGCCAGAGCCGCGTGGCTGACGTGACAGGAGAAGTTGCTGCCGGAGTCGCTCGCGGTGGGGGTGAAGGTGTAGGTCAGGGTGAGGTTAAAGGTCCCATCCGGGTTCCTCTGGGGGGCAGAGCGGGTGGCGTCGGTCAGAACCCGCCCGTCTCTCAGCCACGTGACGGTGACGTCCCTGGGGTAGAATCCCCACACGTGGCAGGGGAAGGAGCTCGCTGCGTCTGTTCCGGCCGATCGCTGGGGGATGGAGAGTCGGGGAGCAGCTGGAAGAGGGAACGAGACACCCAGAGTTACATGGAAGAAGCTCCACGAATCCAGCGTCGCGGCTGAGATTTCACTCTCCCGGGAAGCAGGAACGTCACCGTTTAACAAACTCACCTGTCACCTGCAGCTCCAGGTGCTGCTCAGATCGGTCGGGCGTGTAGATGAGGGTGCTGGTGTATCTGCCTCCGTCCTCCACCCTCACGTTCCTCAGCCCCAGGGAGCAGTTCCCCCTGCTCAGCTCCTCCGGGAAAAGCTTCACCCCGGGCTGCTGAGTCGGCTTTTCTTTGAGGTACTCGGCCACCTTCTCACCTCCCCGGGCCCAGCCCAGGTAGAATTTAGACAGACCGATGGGTTCGCCCACAGCGAAGCTACACGGCAGCAGCACGTCCGAGCCCAGCACGGCCCTCACCGGAGAGGGCCCCACGGACACGATCAGCTGGGACTCTGGGGGA